CAAAAGCTCAGAGACAGCCCCCAGGCCCTAATTCAAGCCCCAGGATGGGCATGCGCTCACATGCACACACATGCATGTGCACGCGTGCATACACACACACACAGTTCCAAGTTATTTGCAAAAAACTAGATAGCCTCAAAATTGAATTTAAAAAGAACATGTGCTAGCCACAATTTTCAAAGGCAAAAGAAAAATTTCCTGCCAAGAAAAGCAAAGGCAAGTTTTCTTTCAGCAAAGAAAAAAAATTTCTCCCAGTAGTTCAAACAAAACAAACAAATACAAACCAAAAGAACCAGGCCTCTGGCTCAGAGGTCCCCAAGGACAGAAGCCCCCCCCCCCACCTCTGATTGACACCATCAGGACCAATCACATTTCAAGCCAAATTTTTGCTCAAGTCAAGAATCACAGAAATTGTGCTTTCTTGCCACACTACATCGTTCCACGAAGAACACCCCCAAAAGAGGCCCAGGTTTATTTTCTTTCAAGAAGAGTGAAAACTTAAAAAGACACTTCAGGAAGCGATGTGGAAACAGAAGCTGGAGGCTGTCCAGATTTTTTTTTTTATAATTGTCTCATCCTTTTCCAATCTGATAGCAATTTGTCTTCGTGGAGGCTTTCCAAAGGTTCTCACAGAAATGGTGGCTCTCTTATTTTAGCATACACACACACACACACACACACATACGATTTAAAAAAAAATCAGTTTTCATTCTGTTTAAATTATGGTAATTTACAGGAACAAGAATGCCACCCATTTATAAACAAATTTGGAGCTAAAACATCTCTTGGTTAGCGTGGTCTCCTCTGGACCCTCCACCTGACAGGCTGTGGGGAGGGAGGAAGGGGGGCCTGAGCTGGTCCCCTCCAGGTCCCCTCCAGGTCTCCTGGGACCGGAGATGACAAAGGAGCCCTCTAGGGAAGTTCTGCCTGTTAAAGCATTCCAACACCGGGGCTGTGCTTGAGCAACGCCTGCTTGCTTTCAACCTGTAATAAATACCTCGCCAATGAAAGAATTGGTTGTTACTGTCATTCATTGTTCCTACACCATTAGGATGAGACAGCCTAAATCTGGAGGGGAAAAAAAAAAATCAAAGAGGAGGATAGCCCCTAGCAAGACTAGAAAAACCATCAAGACTAGAAGAAAATGAAAATAGGAAACTAGGCCTGGTATGGTAGCACACACCCGAAATCCCAGAATCAGAGGCTGAGGCAGGAAGATTGGGAGTTCAAGGCTAGCCAGAGGTAAAAAAGGAGACCACTTTGAGAAAGTTAAATATATATATTTAGATAGATAGTCTATCTACCTATATCTATCTATCTATCTATCTTTAATGCAAGAGACCCTGTATTTAAAAAGAAGATAGCCAGGAGCTAGTGGCTCACACCTGTCATCCTAGCTATTCAGGAGGCTGAGAGCTGAGGATAGCCATTTGAAACCAGCCTGCCTAGAAAAGTCCCCGAGACACTTACCTCCAATAAACCACTCAAAATCCAAAATCCAGAAGTAGTGCTGTGGCTCAAAGTGGTAGAGCACTAACTAGCCTTGAGCACAGAGAGGCTCAGGGACAGAACTCAAGTCCTGAGGTAAACCCCCACAACCGGGGGTGGGGGGGATGGGGGGGGAATGTGTGTGGGGGAATCAATCAATCAATCAAGATAATGATGTCATTTCATAATTCCATTCAAATATTCCCCCAATTCACAAGCCAACCCCTCATTTAACCCTTCCAGAAACCCAGCACATACAAATCCCCGAGAAGCAGAGCTTGGCTAGGGGTCCCTTCCTAGGTCAAGTTGTAAACTCCCACTAATTTTAACAAAACCTTTTAATTAGGTAAGTTAGACCTAACTGGGGGGGGGGAATACAATAACAAAGACTTACATAACCTTGCTGTATAGTATTTACTAACCTAATCCTCATAATAAGTAGAAGAAGTAGGTTCTGAAAAAGCCACAGAGCTGGTCAATGTTGGAGGCAGGCTTCGAACACGGAACCCATGTTCTTCTCCTCTGTGCCGTACCAAAGACTACAGCTCACCTTCCCTTTGGATTTTCAGTGCTTTTGTCTAAGTGTTTTCATCATAGATGTTCATTATAGACCTGAAATTAGTGGAACTGTAACTGCCACAAAGGGCAAGATATTTGCACAAGGGGGAGGAAAAAAAGCCTGTCAGGAAGCTCAGCACCTAGGAGAGGAGACACAGGTGCTGGCCAGTGCCAACAGTACCCCGCCAGGCAGGGCCGGGGATGGTCCAGCACCCAGGAGGTGGGAAGCAGGGGAGGGAGAGGAAGTGTGTGTGATAGCCAATGGGGTGGAGGAGAAGCTGAGTTCCATGTAGGAGCAAACACTCGAGAGGCGGAGCAAATACTCAAGAGGCAGAGCAAACACTCGAGAGGCGGAGCAAACACTCGAGAGGCGGAGCAAATACTCGAGAGGCGGGACACCTGGGGGGGGAAGGGTCAAGGAGCTCCAGAAGAGGGCCAGATTAATGAAGGATGATTCCATCCACAGGACAAGAAGAGGAGTCAGTAGTGCCCTGGGATAGAGCTGGATCTTGAGCTGCACAGTGAAAACTACACGAATAGCACAAGAGCAAGTCAACGAGAGGTGAGTGAGTGCGGGCAGGATGGAAGGGGGAAGAGGCTGGAGCAAGATCAGGAAGGAGGGGGACGGCCCAGGAGCCAAGAAGAGAGGAGGACTATCATCAGCAATAGTGTGCACCCCCAAAACCGATCAGGTGATGCTGTGGGAGACCAAGCTGCGTGAGCAATGGCCCCTGAGCCAGTGGAGATACATGAGCTGACCCCTGGAAGATCACCATTCACCATGCTGGTGCGATCAATGGGATTGATTGTTCTCCACTTCCTCTTCCGGGCCAAACATGGTAGCTGTCACCTCTTGGGGCGGGCTACCAACGTTCCCCATTTCACATCGGAGGAAAGTGGTTTCCAGGAGGATAGCCTTAAAGAGACCCTTACGTCAGCCCCAGCCTGGCCTGTCACATGCACGCGCGCGCACGCACACACACACACACACACACACACACACTTATCTAACATTTTATATTTGGAATTTTGTAGGCCATTTGTATTTTTTAATTAGTGTTTTTTTTTCTTCTGTTGGTTATGGGGCTTGATCTTGGGGCCTAGGTGCTGTCCCTAAGTTCTTTTTGCTCACGGACTTTCCTGCCCAGGCTGGCTTTGAACCATGACCCTCAGATCTCAGCCTCCTGAGTGGCTAGGATTCCAGGCGTGGGCCACCAGTGCCCGGCTTAATTAAAGTTTTGGTGCTTGTTGTTGTTTTTTTGTTTTTGTTTTTTGTCAGTCATGGGGCTTGAACTCAGAGCCTGGGTACTGTCCCTCAGCTCATCTGGTTAAGGCTAGCACTCTACCACTTCGAGCCACAACTCCACTTCCTTAATTAGGATTGTTAATGTAATCCTGCATTTACTACAGTGATCCTGTGCTTGAAAATAAGTGAACTCTGTCTCAAAAGAGGAGGATTTCTTAATCTAAGTATTTGAACACCAATTCGATCTTGGCGACTGAACTTATGGCATTGTCAACGTTTGATTATGTTTCACAAACAAAAAAAGCATTTTCAATGTTGTCCTCTCCCACATGGATAGACTGCTCTTTTGTTCCTATCCATAATAAACTTATTTTACAAATAAAAGCAGTGTTCACATGCCAGCAGTTTTTAAAGGCAACACTAGAGGGCAGGAAAGACACAAAATTTATGACGACCAGTTCTCAACCTACAGTGAAGATCATCTTATTTTAACCTTTGATTAAACATTAAAAAAACAAAAAGACCACCTCAGTAATAAATTGAAGTTAGGGACCAGGAAGGTGGCTCAGTGGTAGAGCGCTTGCCTTGCATGCCTGAGGCCCTGGGTTCGATTCCTCAGCACCACATAAGCAAAAAGAAAAGCCGGAAGTGGCGCTGTGGCTCAAGTGGTAGAGCGCTAGCCTTGAGCTGAAGAGCTGAGGGACAGCGCCCAGGCCCAGAGTTCAGGCCCCACGACTGGACCCCCCCTCCAAAAAAAATAAATAAATTGAAGTTAGCTGGCTTGGGAAATATGACCCAAATGCTGCTTTAGCTGTGAACGTGTGTGTGTGTGTGTGTGTGTGTGTGTGTGTGCGTGTGTGCGCGTGCACGCGTGCACATGTGCACATGTGCTGGTGGTCCTGGTGCTTGAACACAGGACTGGGTACTGTTCCTGAGATTTTTTGTTCAAGGCTAGCACTCCACCACTTGGGCTACAGCACCACTTCTGCCGGGTTTGTTTTGTTTGGTACTTAATTGGAGATAAGGGTCTCAGACTTTCCTGCCCCCAGTTGGCTTTGAACTTCAATCCTCAGATCTCATCCTCCTGAGTAACTAGAATTATAGGTGTGAGCCACCAGCACCTAGCAATTGATCCACTTCTAAGTTACTACAACACTAATACATTAACATCCACGTTATACAATTCTCTACTTCCTATCATCTCTTTTCTTGGTAAGTTCTAAAACGTATGTGTTAATTTGGAGGAAAATTCTGACATTTTTCTATCAAGATGTTAAGATTCAACTCATTTATGATGGTTTTTCTGGTGTTTTGTTTTGTTTTGTTGGTGGTCGTAGGGCTTGAACTCAGGGCCTGGGTGCTGTCCCTGAGCTCTTCAGCTCCAGGCTAGCGCTCTACCGCTGGAGCCATAGCGCCACTTCCGGTTTTCTAGTAGTTGATTAGAGATAAGAGTCTCATGGCCTTTCCTGCCTGGGCTGGCTTTGAACCGTGATCCTCAGATCTCAGCCTCCTGAGTGGCTGGGATTAGGTGGACCAGCCAGAATGCCTGATTGGAAGAAAAAAAAATCATAGCTGCATCCCAGTGACCTGGGAGGTAAATGGGAAGCAGGACTTGCTTGGGCTGGATCCTCACGTCTCTGCTGGCTTACCTGTACCTGGGTGTTAGGAAATGGCCGGTCACGGACCGTAGGGAAGAGCAAGCGCTCACCTCCACTGCCACCACAATCAGAATGAGGTCTGTCTTGGAGTCTGGAAAGGCTGCGTTCACTTGCGGTGACATTCCAATCAGGGCGCAGTTGGTGACCACAGAGATGACACTCATCGTTTCAAAGGCCAACTAAAGGGGGGAGGAAAAGGTGTCATTAAAAACTGCTCTGGCCACTGCCATGGCCCCTCATCTTTTTATTTTTCCAGATTATCCAAACCCCGGAATGTGTGTATGGGAGGGGGGGGTCGGGCATTTCTTAGTATATTTTAAACTTGGGTCTGTTGGGTGATGGTTTTCTTTAGCCTCAAAACACTCAACTGAGGGGTCTGGGAAGGTGGCTACAGTGGTAGAGTGCTTGCCTAGCATGCATGAAGCCCTGGGTTCGATTCCTCAGCACCACATACACAGAAAAAGCCAGAAGTGGCGCTGTGGCTCAAGTGGTAGAGTACTAGTCTTGGGAATGAAGCGGTTCAGGGACAGAGCCCAAGCCTGGAGCTCAAGGCCCAGGACCCACAAAACAAAAACAAAACACGGAACTGAGCCAGGCGCTGGTGATCAACACCTGTCATCCTAGCTACTCAGGAGGCTGAGATATGAAGATCACGGGTCAAAGCCGGCTCGGGAAAGTCCCTGAGACTCTTGTCTCCAATGAGCCACCAAAAAACCAGAAGTGGAGCTGTGGCTCAAGTGGTAGAGCACTCGCCTTGAGCAGGAAAAGCTCAGGGACAGCGCCCAGGCCTTTCGTTCAAGCTCAAGGACCAGCACCAAAAAATAAATAAATAAATAAAAAACCAAAAAACACTGAACTGTTAGAGGAAGGTATTTCAGATCCTTGTGTCTTTGTGGGTCTTGGGCCTGAACTCGGGGCCTGGGCGCTGTCCCTCAGCTCTTCAGCTCAAGGCTAGCGCTCTACCACTTGAGCCATAGCGCCACTTCTGGCCTTTTCTGCTTATGTGGTGCTGAGGAATCGAACCCAGGGCCTCATGCATGTGAGGCAAGCGCTCTACCACTGAGCCACCTTCCCAGCCCAGATAAATATTATTTTATATGATCAGAGGCACTGCGTCTTCGTTTCCTCCCCTAGGAGGATCCTCCTTTGGTCTCACTGTGTGGGAATGGCTAGATATCTTCTTTGAAGTCTGCAGAACTGGTATGTGAACTCAGGCTTTATGTTCTACCACCTACCACCTACTACCAACCACCAGAGCCGCACCCCTCACCTTTGCTCCTGCAATTGTTTTTCAGATAAGAATTGTTTCCTGCTCTTCTGTGATAACAAGTGATAGAAAGTGGACCTGAGGTGGTTCCTTTGGACTTAGGTTCGGCTTGATTGGGGAGACCTTGTGGAATCCAGGCTCCCTGTAGAACACTGACTGGGCTAGCACTGGAGGAGAGGTGATTGCTGGGCTGACTGATTGATACTGCCTTCCCTGGGAGAGATCTGAGTTGTCCCACAGCCTCTCGGTTCATGGCGAGAGGAAGGTCTCCGCCCTACAGCAGTTCCTGTAGTCTCTGCCCACTCTGGGCAGGGACTGGAAAGCCAGCCTCAGTTAGCTCTGTCTTCCTTCCCTGGAACCCCAAGTCCCAGCCCTGTATTCTCTGGTGACTGGAACAGGAAGGCCTCCTTATTTCCTGTGAGGAGGGAGTCTCTCACTGGCTTCTTTCCAGAGAATTCTCAGGGTTGCTAGAGACTAGACCTGGCCTCCTGAACACACACCGATTTTAAAATTCAAAAATGTTAATTTGCCAGGCGCCAGTGGCTCCCACCTGTCATCCTAGCTATGCAAGAGGCTGAGATCTGAGGATCGCCGGTCAAAGCCAGCCTGGGCAGGAAAGTCCATGAGACTCTTCTCTTCAATGAATCACCAGCAAACCAGAAGTGGTGCTGTGGCTCAAGGGGTAGAGTGCTCGCCTTGAGCTGAAGAGCTGAGGGACAGCACCCAGGCCCATGACCAACAAAAAAAGTTACTTTCTAAAGTCACACATGCTTAAGGCAAGAACTAAAATCTAGTTTTCCTAGATCTCTTCCTGGAACTGTTTCCTTTCTTTCTTTCTTTCTTTTTTTTTTTTTGCCAGGCCTGGCTTGAACCCAGGGCCTGGGTGCTGTCCCTGAGCCTCTTTTTTCAAGGCTAACACTCTACCACTTGAGCACCATTTCCCAGTTTTCTGGTGGTTCACTGGAAAAAAGTATCTCATGGCCTTTCCTGCCCAGGCTGACTTTGAACAGTGATCCTTAGATCTCAGCCTCCTGAGCTCTAGCTTAAGATGACAGGTGTGAGCCACCCGCGCCCGGCTTTTGTGATTGTTTCGGTTTGGGGGTTTTTCTTTGGTCACAGATTTGGAGGCTTTTTTCCCACCCCTTCACACAGTTACCTGCCACACACCAATGCTGGCTGAAGGCTCTGCGAACGGCCGTTTGAAGACCCTGCACATTTTCAAAGCATCGGAGTTGACTTCCGTGAAGTTATTCAGCACAGCGAAGGTGGCGGCCAGGGGGTACACGCAGGAGAACAGACTCACATAGCCGAACTGCAGGAAGAGCTCCAAGTAATCATCAAAGGTGCCCTGGGAGGGAAGCCACAGAAGGTAGGCCTGGTTTTAATGTCACAGGCCAGGAAAACATTGGCTTCTACACATTAGGACAAACAAGCAAACTAATGAAAAACCCAGCTCTTTGTATTTGTTTTCAGTCAGTGCTTTCTTTGCAACCAGGAATTTAATCACTGAGTTTCTGAAATAAAGAATGAAGGATGGACTTAGCTGCTAAGTTTCCTTGGGCCAAGCCTTACCTTGTTCCTGAGGCAAAGAGGAGCAAAACGATACTAAATTGCTCTTAATCAATGAAGAAGCAAAGATCCAGTCCCGCCTTTAGGGTTGGGGGTCCTGCCACCACGGGTACCCGAGAATGTCAGGCCCTGACCTTTCCTTAAAAGCTAGAAGTGAAGACCTGCTCATCATGGTGGTAATGAGCAGGTCTGTTGCTATAGCAACAGTAAACACTGTCTACAAAACACGCACTAGCTGGGCACTGGTGGCTCATGCCAGTTATCTCAGCTTCTCAGGAGGCTGACATCTGAGGGTCACGGTTCAAAGCCAGCCTGGGCAGGAAAGTCTGTGAGATTCTTAGCTCCAAGGGAACTGCCAGAAAACCAGAACTGGTGCCGTGGTTCAAAGTGGAACACTAGCCTTGAGGAAAAGAGCCCAGAGGTAATGCCCAGGCCCCAAGTTCAAGACCCACAACTGACACAAAAACAAAAACAAAAACCCTGCTGTCAAACACTATGTTGATAGTTAAGATACTGGAAACTTCCCAACCAAGATCAGGAGCTAGACAGCTCTTCTATCTGACACAACCCCTAAAGGCTGTAAGGCAGTAAAATTAGGCGAGACAAAGAAATCAGAGAAAATACCCAGAAAAACTTTCAAGCTATCTATAGTTACAGAAGGTGTAACCTTGTATTTTTCAAATCCTGAAAAATAACCACCAAAAAAAAAAAAAAGATTTTGCTTAACAAATGACTTCGGTAAAGTTGCAGGATATGAGAACAATACACAAAAATAATAGTATTTCTCTCTACTAATAATGAAAACTGAAAATGACATTAAGACTATAAGTACATTCAAATAACACTGAGCAGAACAGGTTATCGATTATTCCAAAGGAGTGATGAGACTTATAAAACCACACAACTACTGCTGAACCATATAACCCACATGCGAAGATGAATCTGGATTCCTTCCTCAAACACCAATGTTGACTTGAAACAAAGCAAAGATTTCTATTATGAAAGTTAAAAATATGAAACTCTGTGGCTTCCTGAGGAGAGTGGACAGTTCACACTCTCCGCTGTGATTTCATGAGAAGTCACAGACACCAGAGTCATCAAACCTCTCTACATGTTGTCATGAGGAGACCTGAACACTAGAGTCATTGAACTTCTGTTCTGCCATCTCATGATGAGATCAGACACTGGGCATTATAAAACCCAGCCTCTGTGATCTCTTCAGGAGATCTAGACACTGGAGTCATCAAACCTCTCTACTGTGATCTCCTGAGAACAGCCAGACACTGTGGTCACAACACACTTTTACTGTGATCTCCTGAGAACAGCCAGACATTGTGATCACAACACCCCTTCACTGTGATCTGCTGAGAACAGTTAGACACTGGAGTCTCACCACCCCTTTACGGTGATCTGCTGAGAACAGTTAAGACACTGGAGTCTCAACACCTCTTTATTGTGATCTCATGAGAACAGTCTGACCCTGGAGTCACACCTCCCCATCACTGTGATCTCCTGAGGGCAGTCAGACATGGAAGTCATAACACCTCTTTACTTTGATCTCCTGAGGACAGTCAGACAATGGAGTCATAACACCCCTTCCTTCACTGTGACCTCCTGAGCAGTTTCGAGCAGTCCGATCCCCAATCTCTCCACTGCGGTCTAACCCACTGGAGTCACAAGGCCGTATCACTAGAAGAGCTGTTCCCGGAGGAGATCTCTGGGGGAGAGTCCACGCTGGCCTCCCAAATCCTCTCCACTGTGAGCCAGGCCCATGGGAGTCCTGGTCGACCTCCACGCTGTGAGGTACCAGGCACAAACCTTCCCCAAGCGAGCGATCTCTTGGAGGGAACAAGGCACCAGAGCCACAAAAGCTGTCCACTGTGACGCATGATTAGCTGCAGACACGGAAGCCACAAAGCCTTCCCACTCTGATCTCTCCCATGAGCAGTCTCAGATGCCTCCATCACCAATTATCCCCACTTGCAATCACCAAACCACCCCCACACCCCGCTCTAATCTCACGAGGACAGCCAGCCCCTGGCTTTTGGAGAAACAAAAATCATTTGAATACGAGGAATGCCGCTCATCTTCTGAGTGCTGGGGTTACTGGGGTGTGCGAGTGTGCTAGTGGTTTGCATTTCTAGTCAGTGAGCTTGTGCTAAGGGAAGGAACGAAGTGCGGAAGCCAAGTTGGGAAGCTCCTCCCTGGTTTTGTCACCCAAGGCGTGTCAACACGGGTTTCCTCAACACAGGAGTTGGGGTCCGCTGTTTTCAGTCTCAGAGGAATTCTCGAGCTGAAGTGTGATGACACCTAATATCACGAAGAGAAGTCCGGGATCATGAGAGGCTGGAATTAAGGCCTCGGGTGGTGGCCATGTCCCCTTGCTGGCGCTGGGCGCGTGGCTGAGTGTGCGCTGCACAGAAGATGTGTGTATGGTAGGAAGGACTGCACAGCGCTCACTGGGTCTGACAAAGGAGGGATGGATGATTTCGTTTCCAGTGGAGTGAAGGAAGAGAAAACAAATCTGGCCAAAAATAACCTTTGCCGGCACAAGCAAGGAGAAGATGGATGCTCAAACCGTGACTTAAGACTGAGCTTTTAACTCACGGCAGCTCGGCCGGTGCAGGAAGAATGGCTTCCCTGAACGCACATGCTCCCCCCTTGCATGCAGGTGTTTGCTCTATGTCTCCTTGGGAAACACAGCTCTGCTGTCCTAGCTGGGTTGTGAGTTTAGAAAATGCTAGCTTAGGTGTGGAGATCTGAATCCAAACACCTGTCATCAACAAACACAAGACACCCTTCACAGAGGAGAAATGGACAAGAGAGCCAGGCACCGATGGCTCACGCCTGTCATCGTAGCTGCTCAGGAGGCTGAGAGCTGAGGATCAAGGTTCGAAGCCAGCCCGGCCAGCAAAGTCTGTGAGAATCTCCAACGAACCACCAAAGGAAAAACAAAAACACGGCTCGGTAGTAGAGTGCTAGCTTTGAGTGAGAGTTCAGGGACAGTGCCTAGGCCTTGAGTTGAATCATAAAAAGAGAAAAAGAGACAGACAGACAGACAGACAGATCCTGGAAGTATAATAAAGTAGAGCTCACTGCATGAACCACTGAAGGCTATTATTTTCCAGTAAGAACGCCCACAGCAAGAAGAAAGGCTCAGAAAGCAAGCAACAAGCAACAGCCGTGAACCAAGCAGGATCCTTGTGCGGGCGGGTATGTGACATTGTATTTGCAGAGACAATACATGCAGTCGCACCACCTGACACTTTGTGAAGACGCAGCTTGGCTTGCGTGAGCTAGAATTTGCTTCAAATACTATATGCCACCAAAGGGAGCATCTGAAGGTGCCAAAAATAACCTAGCCACTGTGTCTTCAAGGAAAGCGTTTGGATGTTGACAATCGTGGTCAAGTAAAGACTAATCCTCAGATCGGCCTTTCAAGTTTTTTAGCCTTGGGCCTCCCTCTTCTGCTTGAGCAATCATCTCCGGTGACTTGAATTAAGATTGGCGGGCGCTTCTCGGCGGGGACCCTGTCTCTCTTTGAATTCCCACAACAGTCTCTGGGCATGTGCCCTTTGGTGGCACTGGGCACGATTTCAGATTCCCAGACCACAGCAACTTAGGCCCAGTTCCATCTTGTGAAATAATCTCATCGGAGAGCACAATGTGTGATCAACTCGGTGCATACTGCTCACTCTCTAACCCAGCCCACTTACCAAGTAAGTTCCCATCTCCTTCTCTAGGATGACTTGCTCATATAGGGGGGCATCGATGTCTGCCTTCAGGGCCTGGACCTTCCTCTTCACCCGCACGCCATGCTTCCTTTGGAGCCAATAAGGGAGAAGAGACTCCACAATTTGGTTAAGGATCTGTGAGGTAATCAGGAGCGTGGCCAAGCTCTAAAGAGAAGTAGTTGCATCATGTTGGGCGAGGTTACTTAATCAAACCGGCAAAGGATGACAATTATGCAATAAATAAAGAAGATCTTCAAAAACAGAGAGAGCTGTTATGTTACAAAAACCGGTATTAGAGCCAGGCACTGTGTGGCTCATACCTGTTAACCTATTCAGGAGGCTGAGATCTAAGGGTGGAGGTTCAAAGCCATCCAGGGCAGGAAAAGTCCATGAGACTCTCATCTCCAATTAACTGCAAAATATCAGAAGTGGAGCTGGGGCTCAAGTGGTATGGCTCTAACCTTTGAGGAAAAGAGCTCAGGGACAGTGCCCAGGCCCCAAGTTCATGCCCCAGTACCCAACACACACACACACACACACACACACACACACACACACACACAAGCTGGGGCTCAAGTGGTATGGCGCTAACCTTTGAGGAAAAGAGCTCAGGGACAGTGCCCAGGCCCCAAGTTCATGCCCCAGTACCCAACACACACACACACACACACACACACACGGCATTATTTTAGCCAGGCACCAATGGCTCACACCTATAATCCCAGCTACTCAGGAGGATCTGGGATCATGGTTCAAAGCCAGCCTGGATAGGAAAGTCTGTGAGACTCTTTATCTCCAATGAAACACAATGAGCTGGAAGTGGAGATGTGGCTCAAATGGTAGAGCACACAAAAGCTCAGGGACAGTCCACAGACCCTGAGGTCAAGCTCTAGAACTGGCATTCAAAAGAAAAAGAAAGCCGGGCGCTGGTGGCTCACGCCTGTAATCCTAGCTACTCAGGAGGCTGAGATCTGAGGATCGCGGTTCAAAGCCAGCCTGGGCAGGAAGACTCCTATCTCCAATAAACCACCAGAAAACCGGAAGTGGCGCTGTAGCTCAAGTGGTAGAGCGCTCGCCTTGAGCTGAAGAGCTGAGGGACAGCGCCCAGGCCCAGAGTTCAAGCCCCACGACCGACAAAAAAAAAAAAAAAGAAAAAGAAAAAGAGAGCACTTTTGCTATTAGAATTGTTTTAATATAATTTGGGGTGATTCATAAACTTGATACTGCTGCCTTCTATGATCAAGTTTGGAAGAGGATTAGATTGAATTATCTTTTCGGTATACAATACAGTTGCTAATTTTTTAAATTGAGAATTGGGCTTCAAAATATGTAAGACATAAAACATTTGCAGAAATTGCCATGTGGCGTCAGTTACATTACTGAACCCAGAAAACCACAACTGGTGCGTTGCTGTCATTTGCACTTACCTGCCGCAAAAGCTTCATATCCTTCAGGACAAAGGCAATGTAGAAGAGGGAGGCAAAGCAGTTTAGAAAGTTGAACTGCCAAAGGAAGAAGACAATGTTAGGGGCTGGACAGGTGGCTTAGTGGTAGAGTGCTTGCCTAGCATGCATGAAGCCCTGGGTTCCATTCCTCAGTACCACATATACAGAAAAAGCCAGAAGTGGCGCTGTGGCTCAAGTGGTAGAGAGCTAGCCTCAAGCAAAATGAAGCTCAGGGACAGCGCCCAGGCCCTGAATTCAAGCCTCAGGACTGGTAAAAAATAGTCATAATAACTCAAGCAAAAAGGGCTGGAGGTATGGCTCAAGTGGTAGAGCCCCATCTAACCCAAGTACTGCCTCCCCCCACAAATTTTTAAATAGTATTTTTTAATGTCTCTAATCACTAAATAGATTGTAGAAACCTAGAAAGATTTTTAATTAGATATTTTTATTCTTACTGTAAAGGTAATATACAGAGGGGTAACTATTTTAAGTCCTGTAATAAGTAACATTTCTTTTTGGGACAATATCACCCCTTCCTTCACTCTCTTTCAGTTTCCTGGAAGGATTTTTGAACAGCAAAACATTCAAAAAAAAAAAAAAAGGTCACTACAAGGAAAATAATGCAAAATGTGTCTAGAAAATGGTTTGTTTTGGCAAATATAGGCCTGCAATACTGATTTTCCTATATTTTGAATTCTCTCTCCAACTACACGCTAAGCCTACAGAACACAAAGACACCGCGCTATTTCACCGGCCCTGGCCTCCGTGAGAAATCAGAAAGCAATTCTTCCTATTATTTCTAAAAACAGCAAGAACAAGCACGCACGAGTTTCATAACCCAAGTGTAGATGAAAAAAAACTCTTAACTTACCACCAACACTTTCAGAACGAGGTGATTCTGGTAGGCAGATTCCAATCTGTGATTCTCTAAAATATCAAAAGAGAGAGAGAGGCTGGGGAGGGTAATTTCTCACAGATAAGAAAACAATACGGCACTAGGGATGTAGCTAATGGTTGATCACAGGTATGAATGGCCTATGAAGGCCACAGTACAACTCTAGCCATGTTCCCTTTCCCCACACACGTGTACACGCCGGCCCCGCCCCTGCTGAAGTTCTCAGTGCCAAACCCATTAGGCTTTTGGGTTTAGGAGACTGACTAGAGTTCATGTGGCCCTCATCAGGAAGGTAATGTCAACTGATTTCTAAGAGGATCGGGGACATGAGTTTTGAACTGATAGATCTAGATCAGTCTGGCTCTATGCTTTGTAGATACTGCCAAGTCATTATCAAATGGTTAAATCGTTTCTATCACACTGTTTCTCGGCGCCCTAAGGAGATAAAATTGCTTAGGTCACTCAGAACGAAGTGTGAGCAGTGTCTGATAACCAAGATCTCTGATAAACCAGGACACAGAGATCTTGGGCTGGGGAGGGCAAGGGATTTCTCTTATGCCTCTCGGACAAGCCCAGAGGACAGCAAGGCGCTCTGTGAGAACAGGAGTTGCAGGAGTCCCAAGACCTGGGCGAGGAAGACAGAAGCACTGCCTGTTGGCTTACCCCACGAGGTTAAAAACTCAGCAGCGTATCGATAAAGGCGGTTCATGATCTCGATCACAATGGCGTAGATGATACTAGGCACGTACAGCAAGGCGCTGGTCCACTCGGATCCGCTGTCCTCATGGATGCTCAGAGCCCAGTCCTCCATGTCGAAGTAGATCATCATGATGTACAGACTGAAGTACAGACAGAGGCACACGAAGGGCAGGGAGACCAGGTAGATGCGCAGCTGTCTCTTGAAGCTGGAGTAGATGGGTTCCTCTCGGCCGGTGACGGCGTTGATACCCAGGACTCCGTGGAAGCCAGGCCGGGGCTCCTCAAACTGCCTCTTCATGACCAGCGTGCCCCACCTGTACGTCATGTTGGCACAGCCTCGCTTCCACACCTCCAGGATCACCGTGGACCAGATGAGGTTGAACGAGGCGAAGATCACATACTTGTCATAGTCTTCCCACACGAACAGATAGTAAGGCAGACCTATGATGGCCATGGGAAGCAAAGCAAAGGTGAAATATTCCAGGAATCCAAAATACAGTGCGATGGTCTCCCCGAAGTAGGCACGGATACTGTCTATGGCAGAAGGAAAAAGAAAAGGGGGAAGAGGGTTTAGTCATCTCAAGAAAATGGCTTCCCCCCCCCACCCTCCCCATTTAATACCTTTGCTTTCTAATAGGTCTGTTGTGCATGCATTTGTGAACACTCCACCTGTCAGCAAGCCCTGGCACAGGGCAGCCCCTGAATCAGCTACTGAGGTTTCTGAGCCTGAAGTGCCCCCGCTCACCAAATCAATACCTTCTTCTCAAAGACTCACCTTATAGTGCTCTCTAATCCCTGACTAGGAGTCCTAGTTGTTCTCTTGTTTTCTGGTGCCCGTATGGAGCTTGAACTTGGGGGCCTGGGTGCTATCCTTGAGCTATTTTGCTCAAGGCTAGTCGCTCTACCACTTGAGCCACTGCTCTGTTTGCAGCTTTTTTGGTGGTTCATTGAAGAGTCTCAAAAAGACTTCTGCCACAATCCTCAGATCTCAGCCTCCTGAGTAGCTAGGATGACAGGTGTGAGCCACTGGCTCCCAGCTTGAACTCTTCCTTCCCTTTCGAATCAGTCTTAGGACATGCTTGCTTTCTTTGCCAGGCCTGAGGCCTGAACTCAGGGCCTGGGTACTGTCTCTGAGCTTCTCTGGATCAAGGCTAGTGCTCTACTCCTTGAGCCACAGCACCACTTCCAGCTTAGTTCATTGGAGATAAAGAATCTCATGGACTTTCCTGCCTAGGCTGGACCTAGGAAAGGTGAATTGTCTGTTTTAGACCCAAAGCCCTTTCTTCCCGCTAAACTCAGCTTCTTTCCGATTTCAGAGGACTCATCATGCTCTCTGCTCCTGGATGAGCTAGAAGGATCGATCGCTTATCTCAGTTCATTCCCTCACGGATCACGTGATGTTCAAACAATCAATTTAACTGCATGAAGTTAACAAATAGGTAATAACTCTAGCTGCTACCCCCACCTTCAAGCCCTCACACCCCAGCCTGGTCCCATGCAGGCCGCTTGGAGACCAGGCACTCTGCATGTGGGAATGGTTGGCAAAGGTTAGGTGCTTATGATGTCTCTTGGGGTAGTTGGCGTGTGCCAGGTTCACAGGCCAGTGGCAAGTTACTTGGAAAACCTTCTGCCCAGGGCTTAGATGAAACTATAGGCTAACATTATCTGACTGTGGAGAATCTCGTGCTTTTGAATCGTTTTCCACTCCATTCACTGCATATTGAAGAACGCTGGTTGGTTGGTTGGGAGCTCAGGATAATGTGGATAAGGAACCTTCTTTCAAAAGGGCATGTTGGGCCGGGCACCAGTGGCTCACGCCTGGCATCCTAGCTACTCAGGATCTGAGGATCGCAGTTCAAAGCCACCCAGGCAGGAAAAGTCTGTAAGACTCTTCTCGCCAATGAACTACTTAGAAAACTACAAGCAAAGCTGTGGCTCAGAGTGAGAGGGTGAAAACGCGGTCTAGCATGGCCTTATAAAGCACCAGTGATGTCACTAGCCTAGCATGACATCACAAAGGAAAAAAGAGGTCATCTAACCCTCTCCCAGGCAGCTCGTGAGCACTGCCGAGCCGGGCACTGAGTGAACATCTGCCCTGGGAGAGGAAGCCACTGCTGGACGGCGACTTCCCACAGCCGGCCCTTCTCCCCTGGGAGACACAGCTGTGCAGGCACGCACGCACGCACGCGTACCTATGGGCTGATACTTGAACGGGAGCCGCGTGTACCAGGTGTCCTCCAGCTTCTTGAGGGCCTCGTTGTCGTGCAGCGGGAACACCCGGACCACGATGCCGGAGGTAAGCAGTCTTCTTACTGGGGAGGGAACATCGGGCCAGACCCACACCTGAGCCGGGCGTCACGCGCCCACCGGCCACAGCCAAGTGCCACACCGGAGCGACCTCACACACGTGGATGTGGATGCTCCTTAGCTCTTCAGGGTGAAAATGTCCTTACTCAGCGTGTAAGTATCTTATTATTTTCTCTTTTCTCTGTGTGTGTGTGTGTGTATGTGTGTACCAGAACTTGAACTCAGGACCTAACACAATTGCTTAGCTTTTTTTTGCTCAAGGCTCTTACCGCTTGAGCCATACCTCCACTGCTGGCTTTGTGCTGCTTAACGGGGGGAGGAGAAAGGAACTAACCTAAGCAAAATAGAGGCTGGCGGTGTGGCTCAAGGGATAGAGCACCTGCCTAGCAAGTGTAAGGTCCCCCAGCCCTGCCAAACTAAAAATAAAAAAGGAGTAATTTTACATGTTACATTGCTCTGGAAATCTTTTTTTTTTTTACATAATATTATCTGATACTTTTCAGGGTTCATAGAGAGGCTGGCTTGTATAGCTCGGTACAAGCTCAAGTTTGGAGCTGGCCTAGCAAACACCAGGCCCTGGGTTCAATTCCCAGCACTGTAGGTAAATATAAGTAGACCAAGCACCCGGTAGGGAGAAATTGTTCCCAATCATTGACTATGATGACTAATGCTAAAATTCTTATCTTCTGCTTACTCTTTCTTTATTAAATATGCTCAGAAGGCAGAATTGCTAAGGCCAAAGACATACTACTACAGCAAGAGTAGGAAAATGTGCCTTTGATTCTTTTGGATTCCGAATACTTTCCATCATGTTTTCTATCTTCTATAAGCTAATGACAAAGACAAATCCACAACCAGGATATATTAAAAAAAAATCAAAGAAAGAAGCTAGACATCTGTAATCTCAGCTACTCGGCAGGCTGAGGTCTGGAAGAGAGAGGCTGAAATCCAACCTTAGTAGGGAAGTCCATGAGACTCCTTTCTCCCGATTAAACAACAAAAATGCTGGACTGAGGTCAGGCAACTGAGCCAAGCAAGCTGAAAGCCCTGAGTTCAAGTCCTGGTACCAGCCCCCAAATGAAAATAAAATAACACATAATATATAATACATAAATGATAAATAAACCTCTAAAATAGTAAATAAAGAATATATGACATCTATAGGACATACATTTATATTAGATGTATTTTACATATAAATATATATATATGTATATATAAAATTAAGATTTCCCATTTCAGCAGTCATTTGACTAGTATGGTTTGAACATTCATGCACTTATTGGGAAAAATCAAAGGAACTTGATCAGAGGCTGAATCTCCAGGCAATATTAAAGGGAAAGATGGGGCATCTCTCATTCTTCCTAATGACTTAAAGTAACTCGCTGGGTGGAACGGGATGGTAGGAGGGCTCCGCAGACATGGAGGGTCAAACTTCAATGCCTTGGGCCCAATTAGCAGCGTGGGGTGGGTAAGAAGATGAAATCTACATCAGGGAAGAAGAATGCTTTAACTGTTCTCATCCACCTGTCAGGTTTGGGCTGACATTCGCAAGAGGAGGAAATAATCATCTGAAATAAATACCCAGACTACAGGCTGCTTCTCCCAAGTCAGCTACATGGAAAAGAAGGAAGATTGGGCTGGGAAGGGTGGCTCAGTAGTACAGTGCTTGCCTTGCATGCATGAGGCCCTGGGTCAGCACCACAGAAGCAGAAAAAAGCAGGAAGTGGTGCTGTGGCTCAAGTGGTAGAGTGCTCGCCTTGAGCTGAAGAGCTGGGGGACAGCGCCCAGGCCCAGAGTTCAAGCCCCACAACCAACAACAACAACAAAAAAGGAAAACTTTAATAGGTAGGGTTTGTGGTGATATCGTACCCTCTTTAATGACTGAAAAAAAATTCTAAAAAAAAAAAAAAAACCCTCAGAGAGTGTACCCAAGGCCCTGAGTTCAAGCCTCAGTACTGGCACACAAAAAAAAAAATCAGCAGAGAGGGGAGAGAGAAGACATATAACCTAAGTTGGATAGTCTCTGAGCCTGTGAGATCCACTTTCTGCTTTTTGAGTCCTTTTGCTATAAAAGGTCGCCCTGGATTCTTCTGCAGCTCATACCCATGATTCACTCTGCTTCCTAGCCTTCATCTGGGGTGCTTTGGGGTGCATCAGGCTGGCGCGGGGCCTGATGATCTTTTTCAGGGCCCACGCCAAGTTTTTCACCACACAGCTGATGTGCACTATCCGAATGGTTCTTTTACTGTTCCCAAGATGTGTTTCAGAGGCCATTCCCTCTCTTACTCCGGAAGACTTTTCCAAGCAGACATGAAAAAAAAAAAATCAGCTTTACAGCTCTAAAAATAGGACCACGATCGGAGCCCTTGGACAAGAATCTAAGGCGGCAAGTCCTAAACTACAGGGCTGCTTGTCTCCGGCATCAACAAAGCCCGGCTCTGCATTCAGCTTCTAAAAATAGAGGCTTTTTTTTTCCCTTTCTTTTCTAAAATCCATCAACCTTCTTGTGTCCGCTAAGTATGTAATTATCTGGGAAGGAGCCTTTCCCTGGAGAGGAAGAGTCGGTGCCCAATGGGCCTATTTAAAGAAAGCCACAAACTGAAGCTGCGTTCCTCCCCAGGGCAGTGGTGAACCATCTGAGCAACTGGCCAAAGTAATCAAGATCTAATTTAAGGGAGACTTTCACTAACCCTGGTTTATGTGGGGACCACCCGAAGAATCAGATAGGGTAGCCCCAGTACTAACACGGTGCTGCTTTCTGCGACCGTCCACTAGAAGGGCCAGGGAAATCTCTCTTGGGGGACATCGTGTGTGTGTGTGTGTGTGTTTTGTGTGTGTGTGTGTATGTGTGTGTGTGTGTGTGTGTGGTGTGTGCACGCACTCACACTGAGGCTAAAGAGTCCATACACAATCCTGATGCATGATATGTAATTGAACTATAAGTCATTTTTCTTGTTGATGACAAGATCGAATGTTTGAATGAAAGATTGAATGATTGACTCTATTGACTCTAACCCATTCCTTCTTGTGTACAAGAGACATTCAAAAGAAACCACTCTACTGTTGTAAAATAAGAACTACATGATATCAAGGATATAATACTGAGGCATCTCAGATCCTCTATTAGTCCATCATGCTATGATGATAACACAATACCTGAGGCAGGTTAACTTTATAAGGACACAGGTCTGTTTAGCTCACAGTCCTGGAGATTCCAATGTGTGGTACCAGTGTCAGCTCAGCTCTGGTGAGATCCTCAGGATGAATGGAAGGAACACAGGTAGCAAAGCAGGAAGCCAGAGGAGTCAGGCCCCACTGGAAGTGGCACTGTGGCTCAAGTGGTAGAGCACTCGCCTTAAGCTGAAGAGCCTAGGGACAGCGCCCAGGCCCAGAGCCTGGAGCAGATGGCTCAAGCCTATAATCCTAGCTACTCAGGAGGCTGAGATCTGAGGGTTGTGGTTCAAAGCCAGCCCAGGAAGGAAAATCTGTTAAGATTCATATCTCCAATAAACCACCAGAAAACCACTGTGGCTCAAAGAGGCAGAGTGCTAGTCTTGAGTGGAAAAAAGCTCAGGGATACTGCCCAGGCCTTGAGTTCAAGCCCTGCCACCAACAAAAAGAATAAAAAATAATAAAAATTTAAAAATCACAGTAAACTTACCCAAACAAACGAAAAAAAGGTATGACTAAAGTCAGACAGGAAAATGGTACACAAGGTATGACTAAAGTCAGACAGGAAAATGGTACACAGCCTAAGAAAATTCTGTAAGAGCAAAAATGAAAAACCAGGTAAAACATGAACAGTGCCAATATGACTTAATAAATTATAAAGGTAACTGAAGAAAAATCTCCCTGGAATGATGGTAATCTGGGACCAATCGAGTAAGAGAGCTATGTCTAAGCAAAGACATGAAACCAGATTAAGTGTCATTAAGACAAGTAGATACCTGCAATGTAGACGGACAAGAATGATGAGCACTGACCTCTACCCGTCATTTCCATCAACAAGAACAGTAGCTTCGACCTGTACACTGTCCCTGAGCTGCTTTTGCTCAAGGCTAGTACTCTACCACCTGAACCACACCATCACTTCCGGGCTTTTTCTGTTTAGGTGGTACCGAGGAATTAAACCCAGGTCTTCATGCATGCTAGGCAAGCACTCTACCATGAAGCCACCTTCCCAGCCCTCAATGATTGTTTTTAATTGACACAACACATAACAGGAAAATATCCCTTTGTTTTACTATTCTCCAAATACATTTCCTGGGCTCTTCTTTATTATATAAGATACCCTTAGAGAAACATCATGCAGGTGATCAAAGAAATGGAGAGCCTATGTACCATTCTGGACCTTAACTTGTTAAATTGACAATATACTTGGATCATTCTAGATTCTACATTAAGTTTAACTTATTCCTGTTCCAGGCCACACGGTGTTCTGTTGTATGGACGTTGTCATAGTGATGAGCACGTAAGGTTCTGTAATGTGTCTGAGCAAAGCAAGCTGAGATGACAGGAAATACAGGATGGAGGAACAAAACAGAAAAACTGACAAACTGAACCAATGTTACTGGTAAGACAAATGGCCTGTTTTCATGGGCAAGTCAATTTCGGGAGAGGAAAAAGGGGAGGGGGGGAGAAACTGTTCTATGCCAAGGAGACTTCATAGATGTAACAACCGAAAGAGATGGACCTTCTTTGATTGGATCTTACTTTGCGTAAATAACATCTAGAGTGTAGTTGCTGACAGGTCCTGAAAGGTAAATGTGTACAGGCTCTGAGAAATCTGTCCCATGTCCTCTGGGGTGAGAACTGGTAGTAGTATACTGGCTACTTACAGGAAACTAGATTAGGGACAGGACACAGAAGTTGCTGTGTTTATGATGTATTTTAAGCAGCAAAAAAAAAAAAAAAAATGCTCTGAGGTCATGCCACTATCTGAGTTTGGAGCAAACTTGAATTATACGTTGTAGTAAACGCTCAGTCTAGAAACTAGTATTCTCCTTGAAAGGGAATTACCAACCTAGCTATTCATTCACCTTCATGTGCTACATCAGGTGTCTTCAGCTTTTCTGTTTCATGTGTTCACCTCCAGTGAGATCGGAGGAAAAGAAAGCATTCTGGAAAACAGGGGTCACAGAGCAAACTTTGCCTATTTTTTTTTTTCAAGCTCTGGCTTGAACTCAGGGCCTCTCGCTCACACTGTACTGTTTCACTCAGGGCTGGCATTCTACCATTTGACCTGCATCTCCACTTCCAAATTTTTGCTGGCTAATTAAGAGGTTGAGACTCTCAGAGATTTTTCCTGCCTACACTGGCTTCAAACTGCCATCTTCCAGCTCTCAGTCTTCTGAGTAGCCGGGATTACAGGCCTGTAATCCTGTTAACGTTCCTCACTTTAACGAAGTCATCCATATATGTGTTCACACTAAGTTGTTAAGGGAGCTGTATTCTGTTAATAAATTAATAATGAGAATAAATGAATGAATAAATGAGAAGTGGTAAACCATATACAACAAAATCAAGATTTAAGGAGTTCATATAATGAGGTACAAGGGCTAAAAAAAAAATGTGTTCATGAGAAGAAGAAATGATTGTAAAGTAGTGTACAGTTTTCAGTAAGACTGACCATCTGTTCTCATTAAGGCAAGAACAGTTGGAATGTGCATTCAACAAACTTGATGAAGTGACTTACATAACGATTTTCCGGGATACAACTTTGCCTGTGGATAACCAGGGATCATTCTTTCATCCCGAGCTCTGAGGTTTTCAAGTTCATGTTTGATAATGAACTGACATTCTGCCATCGTAAGGAAATCATCATTGTTATCTACAAATGAAACAAAATGTTCTAGTTATTTCCTCAGCACCTGTCAAGTAAAGCAGTAATAGCCCCCTGAAGATTATAGAAATAATGATATAATTAACCATTGGTATAAGAGGAGTAACCAAAGTATAAAACTGGGAACTTAGGCCAGATGCTCATGGCTCATGCCTGTAATCCTACCTACTCAAAGAAGGCTGAGATCTAAGGATCACAGTTTAAAGCCAGCCTGGGCAGGAAAGTCTGTGAGACTCTTATTTCCAGTTAACCACTAGAAGGCCAGAAGTGGATCTGTGGCTCAAAGTGACAGAAAGCTAGCCTTGAGCAGAAAAGGTCAGGAGAGTGTCCAGGCCCTGAGTTCAAGGCCCATGACCAACCAAACAACAAATAAACAAAAATCAACCAATTAGATAAGGGTCTAAATAATTAAATATCACATAATATAGTCAAACATTCCAACAACACACACTTGCTTGATCTCACTTAGTACTGACAAGCACCAGGCACTGGGTCTCTGATGCTTTTGCTCATCAGCTGGTGCTCTACCACTTGAGCCATGCCTCCAACCCCTCAAGTCTATTTCTCATTGCTCTCTACTGCATTTTCTAGATCTTACATTTAAAAACATGATTTTAAAAAACTGCTCACCTCTATCATTTAAATTTTTATTAACTTGGAGGTGATGAATTCAAATTAATAATTTTTACCTAAAGCATAAACATTTAAGTTGACTTTGGTAGGAAAATCTCCTTCCAGCCCTCATGTTGATTTTATTCCCTTCCTGAGTTGAACATAAGAGAACTAGCTAGGCACTGGTGGCTCACGCCTATAATCCTAGCTACTAAGAAGGCTGAGATCTGAGGATCCCAGTTCAAAGCCAGCCCAGGCAGAAAAGTCTGTGAGACTCTTATCTCCAATAAGCCACCAGAAAACTGGAAGTGGCGCTGTGGCTCAAGTGGTAGAGTGCTAGCCTTGAGCTGAAGAGCTCAGGGACAGCGCCCAGACCCAATGACCAACCAGAAAAAAGGAAGTAGTAGTAGCTGTGAAAAGTCACTTTGGGACAGGTGAACTTGCCCCTGTTCGGTTCATTAGGTCACTGAGGTATACAAGTCCAGAGTGAAGTAGTCTGATCAAGACCAATCATGCCTACGAATTCTGAAAGCCCTGAAGGACAGCTAGGATGGAAGCAAGCATCCACCATGACACAGCTACCCCAGCTTTCCCGGTGCCTTCTAGAAAACATTCCCTTCTTGAACGGAACCCACTACCCTCACACATCCAGTTAGAGCCAGGAAATGAACTACTATTGTGTTTCTTACTATTATCAAATCAGTGAATATTCATCATTATACAAATTAGAATAGAGTAATACAAATCGAGCTGGGTGTACCAGGGACTCATGCCTCTCGTCCTAGCTACTCAGGAGGCTGAGATCTGAGAATTGCGATTCAAAGCTAGTCTAGTCAGAAAAAGCACATGAGACTCTTAATTCCAATTAACAACCGAAGAGCTGGAAATGGAGCTGTGGCTCAAGTGGTAGAGTGCCAGCCTTGAACAAAATGCTAAATATGAGTGCCCAGGCCCTGAGTTCAAGTCCCAGTATTAGCACACGTGCATGCGTGGACACACGCATACAAAATATAAACAGTTAACACGTGTCTTGCCTAATTTGTGTTCTTCTATTCCAGAAGTGGCAAAGTATGGCTAATGGGCCCAAATCTGGCCTGCCATGTGGTTTAATAAAGTTTTATTGGAACAGAATCTTGTCCGCTTACTTAGCTGACATATAGGTTTCCTTTTTGCTTTAAATAGCAGTGGTATCACCCAGAAGCCGTATGATACCAAAAGCCCAAAATGATTACTAGTTGCCTCTTTTCCTGAAAATGCTGAACCCTGATCAAAAGCTTTGTTATAGCAAATGGGATCCTGAGGGGGGAGAGCCATGTGGCGGTTACCGTGGAAGCCTTTGAAGTTGTGCCGGGTTCCATATGTGAAGGCCCGCATGGCGTTGTCATTACATTCCTTCACCAGGCCCACGGCCTCGGCCCCCAGCAGCAACCTGATGGTGGAGGCGCCAACGAGATACAAATTCTGGTTTTCCAGGGTTTCTTTCTCATATTTGTTTAACAGTGGTCGAAACAACAGCTGGGCACCTGCCAAAACGAAAGAGGGAGTGTCAATTTAGAAAGACATGCAAAACCTGAGGAAAGTCACGGTTTTCTAAGCAAAATGCAACGTTTCTGCTTTCATCAGCATGGGCTGGGAAGGTGGCTCAGTGGTAGAGCGCTTGCCTTGCATGCATGAGGCCCTGGGTTCGATTCCTCAGCACCACATAAGCAAAAAGAAAAAAAGCCGGAAGTGGCGCTGTAGCTCAAGTGGTAGAGTGCTAGCCTTGAGCTGAAGAGCTGAGGGACAGCGCCCAGGCCCAGAGTTCAGGCCCACGACCTACAAAAAAAATTACAGTGGCTGGGAATGTGGCTTAGTGGTGGTAGAGTGCTTGCCTAGCATGCATGAAGCCCTAGGTTTGATTCCTCATTACCACATACATGGAAAAAGCCTGAAGTGGCACTGTGGCTCAGAGTGGTAGCCTTGAGCAAAAGAAGCTATGATGCCCAGGCCTTGAGTTCCAGCCTGGCAACAGTGGCTGACACCTGTAATCCTAGCTACTCAGAAAACAGATCTGAGGATCACAGTTCAAAGCCAACCTGGGCAGGAAAGTTGATAAGACTCTTATCTCCAATTAACCACCAGAAAACCAGAAAAGCGATGTGGCTCAAGCAGTAGAACACTCACTTTAAGCTGAAGAGCTCAGGGACAGCGCCCAGGCCCAGAGTTCAAGCCCATGACTCCCCTCCCCCCAAAAAAATTGTATATTATAATTATAGCAATTTGAACTTATCACCCCCAACTTATTAAACATGCAATGGGAAGAGGGAACAGTTCTTTAGCATAACTGTAAGATCTAGAAAATGCATTAGTGAGTGACAGGTCATACATGTAATCCAACCCTACTCAGGAGGCTGAGATCTGAGGATCACTGTTCCAGGCCAGCCCAGGCAGAAAAGTCCCCATGAGACTCTTATCTCCAATTAACCACTCAGAAACCAGAAGTGGCCACTATGGCTCAAGTGGTAGAGCACTAGCCTTGAGCACAAAGAAGCTGAGGGACAGCACTCAGGCCCTGAGTTCAAGCCCCACAACTGACCAAAAAAAAAAAAAATGTATGGAAATGTCACAACACTCCTGTACAATTTTTTGTAAAAGAAAAAAAAATTGAAAAAGCCAAAGTGTAGTTCAAGGTGCTGTTTTGTGTAATTTTACAAAACACTCACGGCTGTAAAACACCCTCTAGCTGCTCGACCTGTCCTAGGTTCTTCTGAGATTCAGGAGTGTACCAACCAAGCCAGGGACCAGCGGCTCATGGTCCTAGTTACTGGGCAATCTGAGACTGAGATCTGAGGATTGCAGTTCAAAGCCAGCCCAGGTAGGAAAGTCTGTTGAGAGACTTACCTCCAATGAACCACCAGAAAACCGCAAGTGGAGTTGTGGCTCATGTGGTTGAGCGATTGCTTTGAGCAAAAAAAAAAAAAAAAGGCACAGCTCCCAGATCCTGAGTTCAAGTCCAATACTGGCTTTAAAAAAAGGGGCGTGGGGTGGGCTGGGAAGGTGGCTCAGTGTTAGAGCACTTTCTTTGCATGCATGAGGCCCTGGGTTCCATTCCTCAGCACCACATAAGCAAAAAAGCCAGAAGTGGCGCTGTGGCTCAAGTGGTAGAGCGCTCGCCTTGAGCTGAAGAGCTGAGGGACAGCGTCCAGGCCCAGAGTTCAGGCCCCACGACCAACATAAAAATAAAATAAAAAAGGGGGGGTCAGGGACACCAAGCCTAGTTGTCCTGAGTCATTCCTGCCATTCCAGAGAGCAGGGTAAAGCGTCCACCCACCCTGTTTTCCTCATGGACAGTAGCAGGTCTCTGATTCACAGTGGTCCCTTGTCGACACATGCAGAGCGGGGGTTGGCTCCTGAGCAATGCTGTCACCCGAATTTCTCCCTACCCAGCTGCCATGTTTATAAGCAGAGGCCTATTCCTCCCTCGGCTCTGGGACTGACTCGGAGACCACTGGGGGGCACACACCTGGGCCCCGACAGTACCCCAAGTCCCGTACCAGGCACAGGGTTCTGAGCTGACAGGTGAGTGAGGATTTTCCCCGTGATGATGTCCTCAATAGATAATAGAGAGTCAGGCAGTACACGTGTGGACATACAAAGGCCTGTGTAAATGCACGGTGGGTCCGAGTGTGAATCATCATCTGCTCACTCACCTCCGTCTTTCTTTTTAGTGATGATTCTGTTTTTCAACCACTCTTTAGTCTCTTCTTTGACATCCTGAGCAAGTTCGATGACCACCAGAGGTGTGAAGGAACTCTCAGAAGTATCCAGAGCTGATAAAGTGACTCTCATCTTTGGTAAGCTTGCTGTGTGTGTGGTAAAACAAAAGATAAAAAGTGGGTTCGTCTTAAAGAAATACACTGTGGCCGGGCGCCGGTGGCTCATGCCTGTAATCCTTAGCTTCTCAGAAGGCTGAGATCTTAGGACTGTAGCTTGAAAGCCAGTCTGGTTAGCAAAATTCATGAGACTCTTTATCTCCACTAAACGACTCAGTGGAGCGGTGGATAGAGTGGTAGAATGCTAGCCTTGAGCACAAAGAGGCTCAGGGACAGTGCCCAAGGTCCTGAGTTCAAGCCCCAGGGACCAGCAGTAAAAAGAATTAAAAGATACACCGTGGAATGACTTGTGTTTTCTCTTGGTAACATCTCATTGGAGAAATTGAGGGAAGGTGAGAGAGAAGGAGAAGTGGGAAGGAGAAACAGAAGGAAGGGAGAAAGAGAGGGAGGGAGTCAGGAAAGGAGGGAGGGAGTCATCAACTGGTAATAAGAGGAGATCTACTATAGAGCACAAAGCGCAGCCTAGAGGTTCAGGAGACCCATTAGGAAGTCCTTACAGTAATCTGGCCAGAGTGGAAGGAGCCAGATGCTAGGTACGGAACTAACTTCTAGGCTCAGATCACTGCAGGAAGGTAAGTTAACATGCATGAAAACGAGTAACAGAAACAGGCACATACTAAATCCCAATAAATGAAGTTCGCTGAACAAAAATTTAAAAAGGAATTATAATTATTATTCCCAAGAACTGGAGACTGGGGCAAGCCTAGAAATCCCACTCAAGGGGTAGAAAAGAGGACAGTTCAAGGTCAGCCTGGGCAAACGCTGAGCAAGACACCCAGGTGGGACGGAGCATACATAAGGACGAGGTAAAAGTGCAAGGCTCTCTCTGAAAAATAACCCAAGAGGAAAACCAAAACAGAAAAATCTTAAACCAGGCTTTGCTCATTCACACCTGCCATCCTAGCTAGTCGGGGAGACAGATCAGGAAGATCAAAGTTCCAAGTCAGCTGGGCAGAACAAGATCTGTGAGACTCTCGTCTCCAAATCATAACCAGCCAAAAGCCATCCTGGAAGCATGGTTCAAGTGGTAGAGTGCCCACTGGGGGCAAGAAGGCTGAGCAAAAGCCTAAGGCTTTGAGCTGAAGCCATAGTACTGTCCCCTCTCCCCACACTGTCCTAAGGAGAAAAAAAAAAAAGCCAGCGCAAAAAGGCTCAAGGTGTAGCACACAAACAGTACAGTACCTTCCTAGTAAAGTGCAAAGCCCTGAATTCAAAACCCAGTACAACCGAGAAAACAGAAAATCTTAAAAGAGCACTCCAAACATCAAAGACAAGAATGCAGCAGCAGTTAGACTGCAAGAAGAGGCCTTTGCAGGGAAAAACCAAGGGGAGTTCTTGTGTCCTTAAATGAGATATTTCTTCCGGGTTCCAAGAGGAACCAAAGATGCCACAATAGGTCTGGGAAGACATCCACCTGCTTTGCTCTGCCACACAATGGTGCAGCAAAGTTCCTCTTCACCCTTCCCATTCTCCTATGCCCACCGCAGCTACGCCTGGGATTCCTCCCCGTGGATCCTCCCACCCGTGGATCCTCCCACCTGATCCCATGCTCCTCCATCTCTCTCTGGAGCTGGGGATGTGGCGCCCACCGCAGGCAGGTGGGGTCCCAGCTCTACACGATCGGGGCCAGGGCCAGGCAACCTTACCCAACCAAGCGCGAGAGCGAATGAAGAAGCCACTGTCCTAAGGCTCACATTACGAAATAAGACTCTTCTTCTAAGACGCAGAGGCTTAAATCTCCTGGAGATAGTCCAATTCGCTGCAGTTTTCCCCACCGAGTAAAAAAGTCTTGAGTTACCACAAAGCGCTCTCTGAAGATGCGCAGTGTCGAGCGTTCCAAATACAATGACAGAATGAAAACTGTATGACGGAACTGGTTGGCCTCAGCCAACATCACACGTTTAAAAAAAAAAAAAAAAAGCAACTAAAATAGAGCCGGGGTGCTGGTGGCTCGGGAGGCTGAGATTTAGAGGATCAAGGTTCAAAGCCAGCCTAGGTAGGAAAAGTCCATGAGACTCTTTTATCTTTGAGACACGACCAAAAGAGCCTTTTGAAGTGGAGCTCTGACTCAAGTGGTAGAGCGCCAGCTTGGAGCCAAAGCAGCTTAGAGACAGGTCCTGAGGTGGGGGATGGGGGGGAATAACAAGAGCATTCAAACAAATTGTAAAAACAAAACAAAACAAAACCACTCAGCCGCCAAAAGAGGAAGTGTCAAGCCACAATCACAGCAACTGAATACAGCAGATATGGGGACTCACAAGAGACCCACCCAGACCATCTGTAATCTGTAGATTGAGTTTGGCAACATAGTTGGGGACTGAGCAAAGGGCACTGTCAGGAGAGGTCACTGAATTGGGGGCTTCTAGAAACACACACTGCTGTAATGTGGGGCCCCACTGTACCACCCCCAAAGGTGTATGTGTTAAAGGCTTGGTCCCAGGTGGTGGAGGTGAGAGGCGGGGCTGAGCAGCAGGTGTGGCAGGTGATGGGGGGAGGGGAGGGGGTCCACTGGAGGTAAAGTTGTGGACTTGCCTAACCAGGTTCGCCTCAAACCTCGATCCTCAGATCTCAGCCTCTTGAGTAGCTAGGATGACAGGTGTGAGCCACCAGCGCCCGGCTCGACTCTCCATTTTTAAGATTATTTCGGGGGGGGGGGGAAGGAGGGAGGGAGGAAGAGAAAGAATGGGGGCAGAGAGAAGAATGGTATCTGGAGAGACTCATGGCCTGTTTGTGGTTTGTGATTTCTCCATCTGATCCTTTCCCCTTGACGCCCCCTACCCTGGCAAAAATTCCAGCTGTCCTCAGAAATCCTTCCTCACCCTCTTCTCTGGGGCACAAGTTTATGCATTGTATTTTTGGGGGGGGGTTCAGTCGTGGGGCCTGAACTCTGGGCCTGGGTGCTGTCCCGCAGCTCTTCAGCTCAAGGCGAGCACTCTACCACCTGAGCCACAGCACCACTTCCGGCTTTCTGGTGGTTCACTGGAGATCAGAGTCTAATGGACTTTCCTTGCCCAGGCTGGCTTTGAACTGCGATCCTCAGATCTCCTCCTGAGTAGCTAGGATTACAGTCGGTGGCGCCCGACTTGGACTGTATTCTTGCTTGCTGGTGTGGAACCAAGTAGTTCGTGAGCGCTTCTCCAGGCCGTGTTTTCCTCCCTCCCCAGGGGGCCCTGGCAGGAAGGGAACAGAAAAGCCTGGCTTCCTAATTCACATCTGAATATTATAAACTGAATATCAGAACTCTAGAAGAGGTGTACCTAGTGATCCATGACACACAGAAAAGAGGCTTGTTGTATTAGCTCACTGTGACAGAATAACCAGGGGCAGTTAACTTGTAAAGAAGAAAGGTTTCAGCCCAGCCCATACTTACTATTTGAAAAATAGGAAATCGCACCACAGAAAAATGAACCACCCAATCTGAAGTCCAAGCAATCCCAGGCTCTCCGCGTGGCCTCTCTCCTGGAGCTCGGGAAACTCTTTCAGGTCTCTCCAACACTCATGCCCAATCGCTACACTTCTGCCTTCTCCCTACGCAGTCTCCCGCTCCAAATGCTTGCTTTTTCTCATCCCTTCAGGGATGCGCTTGCTGGTCGGGAGTATTTGCATTCTAACCCAGCGATTCTCAGTGAGCACAGGTAATCTGCAGACTTTGGACTTACTTATTCTTCCTGGCTTCATACTTCCTGTTTTCAAGACTCCACAAAGTACAATGGTGAGCCGATTCACGCACGCCATCGCTGAGGAAGTGGCCGCCACTGCCCATGTGTGTGTCACGTGTGCATGCCAACCTTCCCATGGTGAAAATCTTAGTCAGGCAGCCAGCCACATCCTTAGTCTACTAGAACGTAGTCTCAAAAGGAATACCAAGCGCAGTAAACATTTACCATGTTTTTAAGATAAAAGCAGGATATTCAACAAAATAAACGAGCCAGGTGACTGTGGCTCACACCTGTAATCCCAGCTACTTAGGAGGCTGGGATCTGAGGATTGCAGTAGGGCGCTAGCCTGGGCAGGAAAGTCCCTGTGCGACTCCTACCTCCAATGAATCACCAAAAAGCCACAAATGGAGCTGTGGCTCACATGGTAGAGCACCAGCCTTGAGTGAAATCCGTGAAGGACAGTATTGGGGCCCTGAGTTCAAGTATCAGCACAAAAAACAAAAATACTATATATATATATATATATATATATATGTGCATATATATATATGCAAATAAATTGTCTACCCCAGGGGATTGCCTGCATGCAAACCTGAGAATGGAAAAATGACTACAGGGGCCAGCCCAGCAGCCCTACCCGCCTCTTCCCTGCTGAGCTCCAACAAGCTAACCCAGCGTCTCTGGTCTCAAGACTTAGCTCCTTCTGGCTGAAATAGTGGTTGCTGAGTAGAAACGTTCCAGGTGTGGACAGGTGGCCCGGATTGAGGGAGTTCCTCAGAAACAGACCTTTTCCGTTTAAAAACTTGCACAGGTTGGTCACACATCCAACAATATCACCGCTCTTCCCCCCCCCCCCCCCCC